CACCGGTTTAGGGTATGTTGTTGTTGTTAGGTGCTGTCGAATCGATTCCGACTCATAGCGACTCTGTGTACAACAGAATGAAACACTAGCAGGCCCGGCCCCATCCTCACTCAATGCCCCATGCTTGAGCCCATTGTTGCGGTCACTGTGCGTCAACCCATCTCAGAGAGGGTCTTTCCTCTTTTACCCTGACTCCCTACTTTACCAAACATATATACCAAGTGTATATACTCGTATAAAACCTGTGCAACCAGCAGGCCATTCCATCACTCTATCAAGTCATTTGTCTCTGAGTGATGGAGCACAAGGAAGTTCAAGAATTCCATGAATGTAAGCCCATTGTTACAGTTTATTTCTGATAAAATAGTTAGTCACCTATGAAAGAAAAAAAATTTCTTCTGCTATGTTTATTTGAAGTCATTATATTGTCACTGAGGTTAGCAGGTAGCAATGGCAGAAGCATTCTTGTGCTCAAACACCAGAAATACTTCACTACCATCTCATACAAGTGACCAGTCATTTCTGACAACACTTTGATTTGACATCCCAAGATCAGATCCTAAATTCAGAAAAATATTAAAATGGGTAAGGAAAGCAGAGAGATTTAGTAGACCATAGTGAAAGCAGAGGTACTGTTTAGGGGAGATAAACAGAACATTCCATCATAAGTATGTCCTGCGGGAAATTTATCAGGGAGCTCAACACTTACTTTCACCTTCTGAACCCCTCCGTCAAATAGCCCAGCAAAGAAATTTTCTCTAAGTTAGCAACTGACTGTTTTCTAACATGCTTATCTCTTTATCCACCATTAAGCAAAGAGAAACAAGATATAATTTATGCACTTGCCCAACAGCGTATTTAACTGAATGGGTGATGACCAGGGTTTTTAAGAAATGAAGGAAAGAAAGAAGAAAAGAAAGAAAAAAGAAGAGAAATTTCATAAAGACAGGTATTGTTATGTGAAACTTTGTTCAGTTTGTTACCAACACGCACAGGCCCATTAGAACAAGAAGCCTGCCCACAGACAGTGTTTTTAACTGTAATAGAGCCATTTAAAAGGGACAGGAATAAAGGGAGGTTAGAGGGGATGAAGGGAAAG